TATACCAGATTCATAAGGATTTTTAGAGAGACAATAGATTTTTCTCTCTTTTTGCTTAAGAATTATTGATGTATTGCTAAACTTCATCTCTTGGTCGAAGGATATTGAAGTTTAGGAATTATTCAAACTGTGAGATCTAAATAAATTTCATTGTTTTTATTCATATTTTATGTATTGAGTATTCTTCTATGGATGATTTTATGGTTGTTGTATTTGAATTCTAAGAGGCCTATTAGATGTTCATGTACTTCGTTCGACTACTTGTTTAAAGAACAAATACATAATTATTTGATATCTTTGACATATAAAACAATTAGAGTTTGATTAATTGTTGCTTTAGAGGTTATTAAATTCTAGGGAGGATATTTGACTAGATTAAACATGACCGCTTGTGATTGTGTTGTTTAGTTTCATCGATTTCTCTAGTTCTCCATGCTATTATTAAATTAAATCTTAATTGCTTTTCTTGGGTTATTTGATAATAAGGAGTGATTGTATCGCTTGTTTTCCGGTTAATTACAACTAAGGAGAAATATGAAATATAAATTCCAACGATGAATGTTAAACATATGAATTGGTAAATAATTATGGATTTATGATTAGTTCAAAATTCCTACAATAGATATTGAATTAGATCAAGGTTCGTTTTATTGATTTAATCCAATTTATTAAATTGCATTGCTTTTGGTTAGAATTGATTTTATCACAAACAAAACCCCGTTATTGTTAACATTGCATAAAATTAGACTAATCACTCTTCATGGGAACGATCCTTACTTCTTACTACATGCATTTTTTGGAAGTGTAGGTTTTATTATTTTTGAATGCCTATGACAGCACACCAATCCCCTTTTGTTTGGCTTCTTGCTTTTAATCTTGATTGCTTGTTCTTCAATTTAATTGCTTCAATCCTTCTTATTGATTCTTGATTAACTGATCTTGATTCTTGATTCTTTATTGTGAATTATTCATCCTTTTCTTCAATATGTTTTCTCTTGTATTCTTATGTTAATGAGATGACACGAAAATGAGAAATTATGAAGTGAACCCACGTAGCAATTGAAACTATGGAACGTACTATAGATTATATCAAACCCAAGAAAGTCAAGAATCAACATTTGGAAAAGCTCGATCTGATAAGTTATTGAATCAAAGATCCTAGACAGTTGCAAACTATATCTTGATCCCACGGTCATAGAACTTATGAACATTACTTGAATTGATGAACGTCACAAGAAATTAATCCTTGATAAGTTCAAAAATTAATTCGATGAAGAACAAGTTGAAAAGCAAATATGTCTCGCAATAATCTCTCTCAAATTATGTGTTTTACCATGAAATGTATGAGTCATATTTATTAATAACTCATAAAAATCCTAATTAAAATGGAATTTAAGTCTAAAGATACCAAAAATACCATCAAATAGAGTTTTAACTAAAATAGGAGATTACCCAAAACTTGAAAATTTCACATCCAGTTGTTGTACTATGAGCCGCATAGGTCTAGTGAATGAGGTTGCATAGGCCATTCCAAATTTTAGCTGGCTTCTCCGTAAGGTGGCATGCAGTCGTATGCCTTGGTGAGCTATATAGTCACATAATTGAACTTTGTAGCTCCTTTTGTCTGTTGCTTGAACTAAGTTGATCTATCTTATTTCTTTTTCCATGTCCAACATGAAACTTGTCCATTTACTTGTTGTGATTGGTGTTTCATTCACCTTAGCTTGAACAAGTAAATTTCATGGTTTCTTGTCCTTCCTCCATAACTAATTAATCATTGTCCTTGCTAGCTCTCAGACTATAGATTTCATCATTCACTCTCTCTTCAAAAGGATCCATCCTCGAATCTTCACCTGCATCAAACAAGAAAAGATCGAAAACATTGAAAGTAGCAGAAATGTTATACTTACCTGGAAGATCCAATTCATAGACATTGTTATTGATCTTTTCAAGCACTTGAAACAATCCATCTCTTCTCAGTTGCAACTTTGACTTCCTTTGAACCGAAAGGGGTTCATTTCTCATATGCACCCAAACCCAATCTCCTGGTCAAACGTAACGCGCCACCATCCTTCATTTATTTGAGAAGATTAATACTCTTTTTTTTTTTCAATCTGGCACCGTACCTTCTCATGGATTGATCTTACTAACTCGACTTTCTTCTTTCCATCCAAGCTACCTCTCTCATCAATAGGTAAAGGAATTAAATCCAAATGTGTTAATGGATTAAACCTATAAATAATTTCAAATGGAGTATAAGAAGTAGTAATCATGGCCCGATTATATGCAAATTCTATGAATGGCAAGCAATCCTCCCAACTCTTCAAATTCTTATTGATTATAATGCATAATAGTTGTATCATAGTTCTATTAATAACCTCAGTTTGCCCATCCATTTGTGGGTGACAATTAGTGGAGAATAATATCTTAGTCCCTAACTTACTCTACAAAATCTTCCAAAAGTGCTAAGGAACTTAACATCTCAATCCAATACAATACTCCTAGGTACCTCGTGTAAACACACCGTGTATCATCAATTTTATGACATTGAATGAAATGTGTCATCTTACTAAACCTATCTATCACCACAAAATAGAATCTCTTTCTTTCTTAGTCCTAGGTATATCCAACAAAAAGTCCGTAGATACATCAACCCAACGGCCCAAGGCTTACTAAGAACGGTAATGGCTTATATAAACTTTGAGGTCAAACCTTAGACTTAGCCTTTTTACAAGTGATGCATTTACTATAAATCTGATCAATGTCAACCTTCATCTTAGGCCAATAAAAGTGTTCATTTAACATATCCAAGATCTTTATAACCCTAAAGTGACACATTAAACCTCTACTATGTGCTTCACGTACTAACAACTCTCTCATTGAATATCTTGGTACACATAACTTATTCTCCCGAAATAAATGTCGATCATGCTTAAAGAACATATCTATAGAACCGTTGTCACATTATTTGTATTTATTAGAAAAGTCCGAGTCATTAGTATACATGACCTTAATATATTTAAATCCCTAGCAATTTGACACTTAAGGAAGTCAGTAGTACATACCTTAAGAATGCATCCGCTATTGACACTTAAGGAAGTCAGTAGTACATACCTTAACAATGCATCCGCTACCACAATTTCCGTACCTTGTTTGACCTAAATAACATAATAAAACTTCTCGATAAACTCCATTCATCTTGCAAGCCTCTTGTTTAGTTTACATTGACCCTTTGAATGCTTCAAGGACTCATGATTGGTACGAATCACGAACTTCTTTAACTACAGGTAGTGTTGCTATATCTCCAATGCTCGAACAAATGCATAGAACTCCTTATCATATGTAGTGAAGTTGAGAGCTGCTCTGCTTAACTTTTCACTAAAGTAAGCTATTGGTTTTTGTTCTTACATCAAGACAGCTGCAATACCTATTCTTAAAGCGACACATTCAATCACAAAAGTATTGTTAAAGTTAGGTAGTGATAAAACCGGTGTAATACACTATCTACCCTTAATAGTATTAGAACTATATTCTTGTTCAACGCTCTAATAAAATCCTACGTTTTTTTTGACAATCTCTATGAGTGGTGTGGCAATTGTGCTAAAGCCTTTAACAAAATGCCTACAGAAGCTAGCTAAATCATGAAGATTCTTACTTCAATTATGCTTTTAGGTGTCGGTCGTTCTTTGATAACTTTGATTTTCTCTTCACCCACTTCAATTCCCTTTGTACTAACATCATAACTAAGAAAAATAATTTTTCCCAAGCAAATGTACACTTTTTAAATTTAGTATAGACCACAAGCACACGTTTTAAACGTTCTATTTGCCCATTTAAATCCTTACTATATACTAATATGTCATCGAAGTAAACTACTAAGCATTTACTTCTAAATGCATGCGAAATATGATTCATTAATCACATAAACGTGTTAGGTGTATTAGTAAGTTCAAATGGCATGACTAACCATTTATAAAAACCATATTTAGTTTTGAAAGCAGTTTTTCACCGATCTCATTCTCTCATCCTAATTTGATGATATCCACTTTTAAGATCTATTTTACTAAACATACATGGTCTATGTAATTCATCTAACATATCATCTAACCTAGGTCTAGGATGATGGTATTTTACAGTTATATTGTTGATTATCTAACAATCTATGCACATCCTCCAAGTTTCATCTTTCTTTAGCACGAGTAGTATGGACATTGCACATGGACTCATACTTTCCTTCACTTACGCTTTGTTCATCAATTCTTCTACTTACCTTTGGAGTTTCTTGGTCTCCTCAGAATTACTCCGATAAACTAGCCTATTTGGAATGACAGCTCTAGGTACAAAGTGAATTAGACGCTCTATACCTCGAATTGGTGGTAGCCCACTAGGCATGTCCTCCAAAAACAAGTCTTCAAATTTCTACAACAAAAAATAGCAAAACTAGGGAGGGATATATTAGATTCATTAAAATTGAGAAGCAGTTCCTTACATACCAATAAGATCATAGGTCGGTCCTCAACTAGTGATCTCTTCAACTTACTCCTTTTTTTTTTTTTTTGCAAAGAAATTCACTTTCGACTTTTCCCTCCTCTCATAAGACTCTTTTTCTTTGCTCTCTTGTGCCTCTACTTTTTTTCTTATAATTAGCCATCTCACTTTTTCTCTTGTTTTCTTGTTGTGAGAGAACAATATCGCTCCCTTTTTCTATTAATCTTTTTTCTTCCTCACTTTGCAATTTGATTTGATCTTCATACACTAGTGCTAGTATTAACGGTGGAAGAGTAATAGATTTTCCATCCTTAGTAAAACTGTACCTTTCCCTACTCTCATAAGATTTTTTGCTTTACTTTCTTGTGCCTCTACTTTTTTCTCATAATTAGCCATCTCACTCTTCTTTGTTTTCTTTTTGTGCAAGATCAATATTGCTTCCCTTTTCTATTGATCTTTTTTCTTCCTCACTTTGCAATTTGATTTGATCTTCATACACTTGTGATATATTAATGGTGAAGAGTAATAGATTTTCCATCCTTAGTAAAACTGTACCTATTTTTGTACCCATCATGCATTATCTTCCTGTCATATTGCCATGGTCTTCTCAAATGCATAGGAATTACATCACACAACAATTCGTCATGGTACTTCCCAATCGAGAAACTCACCAACACTCGCCTATTCACCTTAACCTCTTCACATTCATTGAACCATTATAATTTGTAAGGCCTAAGATATTTTAGCATGGTTAATCCCAATTTCTCAACAAATGAAGTGTTAGTCACATTGACACACTACTATGTAGCTTGTTATTGACTTAACATCATATATGAAATATGTTATCCTTTTGTTCCTCAAAGGCATCCACATTGATTTGAGAACTAAGAGCTTGCCTTATGACCAACAGTTTTTCCATTGCACACTCTATTTTCTTACCATCACTAGCATCCTTCACTTTCGATATGTCATCATACTCACCCTTACTATCACTCACCACTTAAAATCATTGCCCTTTTGTTTGGGTACTGAGATGTAATGTGTTCCGATTCCAAGCACCTAAAACATTTGTGTAACGCCTGGACCCACATGGTCCAAAATATCACTAGTTTAACTGTACTTTTAGCAGAAAATAAAAAGATTTCATTTAAGAATTTATTTAAGTATATATATTTATATTTATCTTTTTTTAACAACACAGATTAATACTAAAAGAAAGAATTTCAAAAATGTCTTTAGAATGATTTTATGCATGTATCTATTGTTGACGTGAACACTAAAGGCAGGAAATAAAAACAAATATTGTTGTCTTGCATTATATCTCAAGCAGTAATTGTCAAAATAAATTCGTTTGCATAACTATAAACTCTGAAACTTCACGAACTTTTAATGTAAGGTAGGAAACTCCTTATATTATGATATATCCAAAAATTGACTTCTATTGGCAACATATGAGTTATTAAAAATATTTTTTAAAAACCTTGTAGCAACTCTATTGGAAGGTAAACCAGTGCAATTCACTTTAAATGGCATATAAAATTCCATAGACATCTGCACAATATGATTTCCATTTTATTTAGTAGTTAATCCGTGAGACTATCAAATCCCATTGGTTTCATCCAGAAATTCTAAGTAACAATTGAGTTATGAATTTTTTAAACCAATGGCAAAAGCTAAAAACAGCAACACTATCTAATGCAGTTTAATTTTAAGTGACATATAAAATTCTACCAACATCAGATTGACATGATTCTAAGTTTATTTAGTAGCTAACCTATGAAGCTATCAATCACCCCTAGTTTTGTCTTTAAAATTTTAAGTAACGATTGGGTTATGAATTTTTAAGTCAAGGCAGAAGTTCAAATTTTAAAGACACAGCAACATTAAATTGCCAACAAATTTTTTTATTATTATTATTATTATTATTATTATTATTATTATTATTATTATTATTATTATTACTATTATTATCATCATCATCATCATCATCATCATCATCATTATCATTATTATTATTTCGGTAAACAGTGTTTCGTAAGTTAATTTTTAGAACACAAATATACTTTTAAAAGTTCGTAGAATAGTTTCACACACGATGTTCATAGAAATCCATTTAAAAGAAAAGGTAAACATTTCATAAACCAATTAAAGACATTAAATCACCGACTTCTCCATGACTTATTGCATCTTCATCTATCATCATTCACACCACCAAGCAAATCAAATTAACCTGTAGGAAAGAAATTAACACATGAGTTTGAAATTCAATAGATATTATTGGTGTATTTCGTTATCAAATTAGATAATTCAAATTGTAGATTTATACTATCACACATAGATGGATTTTCGGCAAAATCCAAATTTCTATAGCATTATCATAACACGCAGAATTGAAGAATGATCATTCAAACTATAGTAGTGCCGAAACACTGTATCCAAAGGTACCATTTCATTTAAACTTTTAACGAAAATCATAATTTGAAAACGAAATAACACTTGCACCTCTGCTTACTTTGAATTTTCTTGGATATAAAGAACAAATGTGAAAAAGGTTTTTCTTCTTCACACCCTTGCTATTTCCTTAAGCTTGACATGAAATACAATTTTGAGATAAAATAAGAGTACATTCGGATTTGAGGAGAGGTATAGTGAAAAAGTGATCTTTCTCTTCATGTAACCTTTCTTTTTAATGGAAAACTAAATGAGAGAGTTGTATTATCATTAAATTTGTCAAATTGGGTCTTTAACTAAGAATTTGAAGAGTTTTTAAGCCGTAAAAAATATTTCATATAAAAAGTTTTATAAAAACATTTACATAATGAAAATAAAGGAAAATTGACCATTCATATGTTTTGTAACCTATTTTTATTAATGCCCAATAATAAAATAATCATTTCATCACATTAACTTGATATAATTGTTCTTAATGTGCAAAATGAGGAGTTTTTAACTAAAACATAATTTTGTAAAAATATTTTATAAAAACATCTACATGGTGATTCGAACATGGATTGCCTATATAAAATACTATGTAGATTATCATTGCAACAACCCAATATTCATTAAATCTTTGTAATTAAATTTACTTATACTTAATCTCTTAAATTTTTGGGCTTTTAATTAACTTACGGCTTGAGCTTTCATAACCTTAAATGAGTTGAGCTCTCATAGCTCGTTTCTTAAATAGGTTAGGCTCGGGTGCTAAATTATCACAAAATAATAGCCTAATTTCATTTTATTTCTCAGACTTCTACAATTTGTATCCTGATTCCTAGGGGCTTGGGAATCCGCCTTAGTGTAGGTTTGCTAGCAAATTCCTCTCTTCTCTTCGATAGTTCAGTCTTACCCTTTAAAATAGCAACATTGCCTTTATTGGTATCCCATTTTAGTTTTCTCGAAGAGTTAGAACTTGATGGGTATCTAATTGCTCATTTCCTCTTCAACTGTCGCTCCACTTTATAGCTACATATAGTATGTCGTCCAACTTCACTTTAATGTTGTAGTCCTACTAGGTTAGCTATCTTCCTATTCAAACCATTCAAAAATTGAGCAAGGTGGCCTTCCGATTATCAATCTCTATCTCCTTGTGATACCAAATGATGCGAACCCACATAGCAATTGAAACTACGGAACCCACGGCAGATTATATCAAACTCAAGAAAGTCAAGAATCAACGTTTACAAAAGCTCGACCCAGTAAATTATTGAACTAAAGAACCAAGACAATTGCAAACAATATCTTGATCCCTTGATCACAAAACTTACGAACCTTATTGAATTGATGAAAAACGAGATTGAAAAGCAAATATGTCTCGCAATAATATCTCTCAAATTGTGTATTTTATAATGAAAATAATGAGTCTTATTTATATGTAACTCGTGAAAATCCTAATTAAAACGAAATTTAGGTTTAGATATAATAGATACCATAAAATAGAGTTTTAACTAAAATAGGATATTACATGAAATTTGAAAAATTTGCATCCAATTTTTATACTATGCGGCCGCATAGGTCTAATGAATGCAATTGCATGGGCCATTTCAAATCTTTAGATGGCTTTTCTATATGGAGGCATGCGGTCGCATGCCTTGGTGTGCTATATGAACCAAGTTGATCAATCTTATTTCTTCTTTCATACTCAACATGAAACTTGTCATTTTGCTTGTTGTGTTGATGTTTCGTTCACCATAGATTGAAAAAGTAATCTCATGACTTCTTTGACCTTTTTTGCTCGTGATCTAGTCATTGGTCCTTTCTCTATGACCTATGGATCATTGTCTTTGCTAAGTTTTGTACCATGGATCTCATCAAATTACATATGAATTAGGGACTATATATGTACTTATATGCATATACATATATATGTATATTTATTATATCACTTCAATTGGGCTTCACCTTATGATAGTATTTATACACAATTAATTACCCATGTAGACCCACATGACAAATTAAAAAAATCCAACATCTTGTACATAAAAATACATTATTCCTTATAAAGAGGAGCAATAGGATATCAAGAAATACATATTCGTTCAAGCTTTTGATAAAAAGCACCTCTTTCACATCTCCTCCTACATTATTGTTTATTTGTTGAAGAAGAATAATACGTCCAATTAGATAATTCTTAAGAACAATAGAAGAAATTCAAGATTTAAGACTGTTTGTCTTTCTTCCCACTTCAATTCTGGGTTATGGGTGTTGCTTCCAATTGTGCAATTGGCATTTTTCCAAATCACTTATTTGCTAGGAGTATCAAATAATAAACTCAATTTTATCTTCCTTTTATTATTTTTTATTTTTTTTATTATAAAATGTAGCAAAAATTGAAAGAAAAATGTGAATGACTTCGTGTGCAGAGTAGGTGTTTAATGTAATTTGTTCTAATAAATAAATCCTTATTTGAGCTCCATTTTAAAGGAAAGAGTGCATTTTTAGATGGTGATTGATGGAGAATGTGTGGTTAAAAATTAAAAAAAAAATTTAATTTGTGTGTAATATTATTTTATTAAAAAATATGTAATTAAAAATGAATTTTAAAAAAATAAATTTTCCGAAAAAGGTTTAAATGGACAAAATAATTTATATAAACTAAAGTGGAGGAAAAAGATAAGGAGGAAGCCAAATAGGCACAATTAAAGCGGTGGCCATTATCTCCGGCGATAACAATATCAAAGGCACCCTCCAATTTCTTCAACAACTTCCCACTGGTCAGTAATTCTATTTCGCTTTCTGTTTATGATCATTTCAATTCAAAATAACCACTGGTACTTGTTAATTTTTTGTTACCACACACACATATGCTGACAGAACCCAGTACCACAATCAAATGAATAATTGTAATTTGTATGGTGGTGTACAGGAGCAACCCATGTCAAAGGACGAATTAGTGGACTCAGTCCTGGCCTCCATGGTTTCCATATTCACGCTCTTGGCGACACCACCAATGGCTGCAATTCAACTGGTAACTAGTCTCTATTCTTGCCATCTATTTTCTATAATTTAACACTCAAGGGAATACAGAATAAACAATCAAGCTCACTGAACATGGGATGGGCCTATTGCCTGCCAAATGAATTGAAATATTCATGTCTGGTTTAGGAAGAGATTATGGAAGTTTTGGAATGATTAAAATTCGGGAAAGAAAAAAGTTAGTACGGGAAATACTTCAGGAAGTTATGCAGGGCATCCTGTTTCATCTTTCGTTTATTCGAGCCATTTTTGATACAGATATTCAATAAATTCGGGGATTTGGGAGAATATAATGAAATAAAGCCACTTTGAGGTACACCTAAAACTGAGATAAATTCAATGGTCTTTCTGATTCTCAAAGAATGAAGGGGCAAAGGATGCTTGTAGTGGGATCCACGACATGATCCTGTGTAATACAGCATCTCCTTAAGTCACTAACATTAGGAATTTACAATTTCTTTTGCAGTTTGTGTCTATTTTCAGAAGAACCTTATCAACATAGTTCAACTGACCTTCCCCTAAAAGAGTAAACATGTTTGTTTGTTTTTTATTATTTTTTATTATTTATTATTTTTTTATTTTTTTTTCTTTTTCAAATTCCATTGGTGGTTTTCAGGAATTAGGCTTTCATAGAAGTGATTAAGATCTGAATGTCTAATACTGGTGATACTTGCCCTTTTTAGGACCCCACTATAATCCCTTAAAGAGGGATCATGGAGCTCCAATTGATGACGAACGTCATGCCGGCGATCTGGGAAATATAGTGGCTGGTCCAGATGGTTTGTTATGTATTCAATACTATATTTTAAGAATCAAATGGATCAAATAATTATCAGGCAGTTTTTAGTTTAATTTTTCATTGCAGGGACTGCTGAGATTTCAATTACAGACAAGCAGGTGTGCCACAGTGATTACTTTTGTTGTCATTTCAAAATTTAGCAATTTAATATAGAAAATAGTTTTTGGTATACAGTTTTTAATGTCAAAATATAATGGTCATAATTTTATAGAACAACCTTACTCAAAAAAGGATAGGATTTTGAAAAAAAAGGCACAGTAAGTTCATGGCATAAATATTGTCTCCAAGCATGTTTTGTTGGGTTATGTAGTTGTGTAGAATAGCCAGATGTTGAAAGCTTCATTTTGGGAGTTGGCTGACTTGTACTGATTCTGTGTGGTTATGATTAAAGTGTTTCAGGTTATGAAGTTGATACTGGTGACTTAGGTAGTTGACCCCTCCATTAGAGTTACTCTCTTGAGGAGGCAAACTGTGTTCTAGACCTTGATAATACTTCTGTGCAATGTATTTCAAATGGTCCTATGTGACGTGAAGATGAGATTATAGATATTCTAGATAGTAGATACTGTTAAATGACGCATAAGAACCTCCTAGTGTTGATGGCTTGTATTATGGGCCTGTTTAAGATACATTATTTTCCGAGAATGCATTTTGGAATCTTAAATTAATAGAGAATGTGTGGTTTAAAAATAAGAAAAAGTTTTGAGTTTGCATATAATATTATTTTATTAAAGAATGTGTGGTTAAAAAGGAGAGAGATAAAAATGTATTTTAAAAAAAATGAAGCTCAACGAGGGCATTTATGTAATTCTGGAATTACTTGAACTGTTTTTATTTACAGATTCCACTAACTAGTCAGCATTCGATTTTGGGAAGAGCTGTTGTTGTGCATGCTGATCCTGATGACCTAGGAAGAGGTATCTTTCTAGAAAGTATCAATGATGATGTTCTTTATTTTGGTCTCTCTTAGACCTGCACATTGACCTTGAGAATATTTTGACTTTTTACTCTGTTCTGAGCAGTCTATTTCATTTGTCTTGCATCTATAAAGGTTGAACCCCAACCTTGAAGGCCCCCATCGTCCCGCCTCTAGAGCTTTGTCTTGCATCTATAATTTGCCATTTGTTGGTTATCAAGTGTCAACTGATTGATTGGGCTATGCAACAGGTGGACATGAACTTAGCAAGACCACAGGGAACGCGGGTGCCAGAGTTGGATGTGGTAATTCTTTTTACTTGTGTACTAATTTATTTCTCCTTGCATTTGGTTTAGGGGAACTCTGTTTGATTCTAAAAATAGACGTTGGGGATAAATATGAATGGATGATTGAAAGAAATAGTTTTCTAATGATTCAGCGATGCAATTTACTACATCAATGTAGCCTATGGATTAATCACGAGAGCAATTTGGTGAGTTCCATCATGGCACCCAATGGATGCATGGGTTTTGCTAGGAAAACAGGGAGGCGGGACCGAACCCCACACACGGTCAGGGAGGCGGTCAGCCTCCCAGTTACAGGAGCAAAACCCATGGATATATTGTTATTGTGAAATGACAGTGAAGATCAGTAAGAAAAGGAAAATGGGAGTGGGTAGTAAGAGGGGGGAAGGAAGAAGTTCCATCATCTTTTTTTAGCAGAACATTACCTGTTACCATTTACCATTCATACTTGTATTGCCACAATGGATTATACATAGCCCCGTTTGACTCTCTTTAAATTAAAATTTTTTATTTCTTATACTAATTTTCAATCTCATATTCACACAATACAATATTTTGCATGTAAATTTAAAAGTTTTCCTTTTTTTTTTAACCACATATTCTCAAAATAATAATAATAATAATAATAATAATAATAATAATAATAATAATAATAAATACTATTCAAAACATTTTCTCCCCCATTTCTTTTTATAATGGCCATCAAACAAGGGCATAGTATGTCTTGTTCGTGCTGTATTGGTTTAAGCAATATATCTTTTAGTGCTTCCTTTAGTGCTTACATTATTTATTTGAACTTTTGGCAGGTATCATCGGACTTCAATCATCTGTTTAGCAGCTGTTAAGATTGTAGTTTCAGTCAAAATAAGCTAAGCCTTTTTTAAGGTGCTTATAGGCTCGAGCCAAACATGCTTCAGTCTTATCACATGTTGGGATACTTGAGTATCACTTTCTCGTAACGTGTAAAATGTGTCTGAATCTGATGATATAATAATATTGAATTTCCTTTTGTCTATGCAGCCGTTTATCTTTTTGTCGCATAAGAAATGCAGTTTAACCGATTGAGTCAGAAGGCGTCATGTATATTTACACAACCAAGAATCGCTAGAAAAGGTAAAAACTCCCTAGGAGTCATGTCCCGAGCTAATAAGGAAGAAGCAGAATATGAAAATTGTTAAAATCTGGAACTAGAATGACCAAAACGATGTGGATAGTAGAGATTTATTACAACAAACAGTGAGGGTAAAGAAAGCCATTTCCAATGTAGAAATTTCAATTCTGCTACACGTGCATGAAGAGATCTGATGTTCTATCCAATGAGGCAAGTGTTGGTATATGATGAGTTGTGGCGAAGTCAAGCATCGTGGGGTTTGTATCCATTAAATAGCTATGGGGAAGCTTGAGGTGTCGCTTGATAGCATCCATTGCCGCCTGCTAAAAATAAACCAAAGTCAAGGCGACGATGACAAACTAAAAACTACCGACCTCATCATCAGACGCATTGCCGCTCAATATGTCCTCAGGATGTCGGCAAATATTTATCACTCCCTTTCCGAACACTCATGCGCGCACACAAAGAGAGAGAGTGAGACCTCGTTGACTTTAGTAAAATTGATAAGACAAGGTTCAAAGATGTTGCACAGATAATAGAAGAATGAAAAATGTTGCACAGATAATTTGACAGCTCTCTAAATAATTGCTGGCCCCGCCCCCTATTAGAGAACTGTCAGCCGAGGTGTACACCTAGCATTGTTCTAGAAGAATTTTGTTTTCTCGCAATCGGTTAATTCAAGGACATGGAGGCAAACAAAACAAAAACAGAAAGTGGAGACACAACTGGAAAGACGTAATGAACTGAAAGAAGATAATATCGCAGAGCAAGATGACATGAAATCCGTTGTTGCTCAGTTTTTCTCATACCAGGTCATCCTAAAAGCACCTGAGACAGACTTTTTAAATCTAATAATCCATTTTCAGAATCCTGATAAAAGGAAAATAACTCATGAAAATGTAGATCATCTATAAAGGACTTGCTAAAGAAAGTAAAACAAAGACAGAAACAATTCACTGACTCAAAGCTGCAAATCATACCTCCCGCAATGGACGAATACCCTCCTTGAAAATATGTAAATCGGATGGACTTAGCATTGTGGAGGGCCGAGCAAAGTGGCAGTAACAGATCCAGATACTTTCAACCTATGAGCAATCAACTTTAAACTGTAAGATTAACGCATTAATCCAGTAGGTAGAAATTTAATCCATTGATTAATGCATTAATCCAGTAGGTAGAACTGAAACTTATAGGCCTAAGCTTTGCTCAGTGCTCACATTAAGGTGAAAGGCTAAAACCTGGGCAAATTTTTCTCTTGAAAGAACTGAAACTTATAGGCCTAAGCTTTGCTCAGTGCTCACATTAAGGTGAAAGGCTAAAACCTGGGCAAATTTTTCTCTTGAAAGAACTGAAACTTATAGGCCTAAGCTTTGCTCAGTGCTCACATTAAGGTGAAAGGCTAAAACCTGGGCAAAATTTTCTCCTGAACACACTTGAGTTGAAGAGAGAGAAGACTTACAGTGATAAATCCTATGATCTTCTTTACATTGTCCTCATATGATGTTTGAGTTCTAACTCCTGGTGTTCGGCGAGTGTACCAAGATACAAATTTGTGCTGACAATCACATCAAAGCAAGATGAGTTTCGTCGTCATCATTACAGTAGGATATGACATCATAGCAACATTAGTAACCACACTGACAAAAAGCATCGTCCCAAAAAGTTAAAAGAACAAAACCATCAAAAAATATAATTCTCAAAAAGTAATCAAACATAGGAACAACCTTGTTGATCCAAAAAAATGTATCTCCAACATGGCCAACAAATCTCAAGGCCTCTTATGTTCATGCAAGCGTTGTTTCTGCACACTTGAACAAACTGTTAACCGCATGTGGCCTCCTCTAATGTGGGTGGAGTTGGCCGCACGCAGTTCAACAATCAAGTCAATTGGAGAAGAAAGAATATATGAGTGTTGGGAGCTTTAAACATGAGCTTTCAATGTAAAAAGAGAGTCGGCTTTAGGGAGTAACAAATAGAATAGTAATATGGAAAAGTTACAGTGTGAGAGTCCAAACTTACATTACATTTGAAATGACGTCAAGTGTGAACTTTTACAATAGAAGGAGTTCAGTAAGAAATGTTGGATGAAGAGGCACATGACTACCTCTGTGCAGCTAGTTTCTTGTTGGAAAAATCAATCAATCGTAAGCATTACAATACCACATTTTTTATCCAAAATGCTTAGCTTGCAGCTTTTGACTTGACCTGGTGGGTTGGAAGTGGCGACGACGACAGTGAATTGTCACATCAATCACATACCATAGATTGTTTAAGAAATCTTGTTCTTAATTCACTTCAAAGTCTCTCCTCTACTGTGGTTCGGCTCATCCTCATAGGGTCAGCTAGTGGAGGGTCAATAGACATATTGGGTCGACCACCCTAAAGAGGTTCAGCCTGGCCGTGATTTGTGTGTGGCCCCTTGGTTGCTAGCCAAGTAGGACATTTGGGGGTCTTATAGATGAGGCATAACAAACCTTACAATGGAATTTCTTGAAATTACAAACAAAAATCTAAAAGAAACCTCCAGGAATAAACTAATAAAGAGCCATCCAGAAGCCTTAATATAAGAATTCATAAAATGCCAGAAGATATTTTTATCTCTATTCATGCAACTTTGGGAGGAAAAGACCGAAATAAGAAAGGATGACAACCGTTTTCATTTATTGTTGTTCAAAATTATTGACAGACAATAGTCACACCATATTGTAGTCCTAAAACATCCAGAAACTATTAAAGCATTCTGGTATTTGTACAATAAATTAGTGGATGCGAAATTATAACAATGCCTTGAAGAAAACTTAGAAGACCCTTATTACCATGCTATTATTCCAACTGTCACTTTTACAGGTAAGGATAAGTGAATAGATGGAGTGAAGATGATAACAATTCTGTTGGAAAAAATTAAGGGACTTTTCCTTGATTTCCTTTCTCGTCCCAAAGTCATTCCAGGCAGTTTGAAGCGAGCTAGATGAACTAAGATTTAGCCTCTAAAAGTATCTGGAACAGAGTGCTGAGCACCAACTCTCCCTCTTATTCTAGAGTTCGTAAAGGGATTATTAAAAGAATGGTATTATTCTAAGAGGAAGAAAAGTTGCAGAAATAAAGAGATTGAAAGGGATTCTAGGCTTCTTGTTAAAGAATTCGAGATCAAAGATCTTGGCCATTCGAAGTATTACTTGAGGATGGTGTTAGAATTTGGGTATGACCTGAATTCATTGTTGAAGTAATTGAAAAGCTCTAATTGAAGTGCACGTCAAAAGGAATTCAATTTTGAGTTAGCATAATTTATTCACCAATCACAAAACTTATTATTTGTTTTGATCAAATTAAAGTTAGTAATAATTAAAAAAATTGTTAAATAGTAGTCATTGTAGGAACGATATTTGGACCCTTAGATCTACTATATTGCTTGTTACTATCCATACACTTGCGGAATATAAAAATCGACAATAGGTAGCTAAAAATTTATCCTTGCACGAGCATGGTACACACCCTCGCGCACACTCTGCGGGGTTATGTCTCTAAGTAGCCGTCAATATTTTTGTCATATTTTCCTCTTTCAATATCCAATTGAGACAATTTAAAGTGCATTGGAATGCTAATTAAAATGCTACAGTCCTTCTAAAAATATCATTTTTTTTTTCAATTGGAGCATTTTCTATGCCACAAATGAGTTTAAATTTAAGGCTGAATCTAGAGCATAACTTGTGCAGCTAGAAATCGATTTATGAAAATACTTGACTATAATTCACTCACGTGACTTTTGAATACATTCAGTTGATCCTATTTGATCTTAATTTATCATTTTATGATCTGAATCAACTGTTGGATATATTTAATTTGGTATCCAAACTTTGGATTTCGTCCATTTAGCTTTTCATGACTTCAATCAATGAGTTTTACCTAACAAACGATAAATACATGAAATTAAATATGATTTATCTAAAGTAATACAAAATATCCTAATTTAATGACCGAGAGAAGTGTACAAAATACACTTATCATCTTCAATCATTGATATTTTAATATTTTACATGGTATCAATTTTCGATCTCTTCGACCTAAATAGTATATTTCACATAGATCTATAGTGTAAAATAAGGTGGGTCATCGTGTGAGATATTCATTGATTAAGTACTTCTAGTTTCAAAGGACTAGTACATATTAATATCAGTCGAAACCCAAGATATGTAATTAATATATTTGGGACATTAATCATGGATTCATGATTGACATGATTGCAATTTAATATTTTAAGGATCATTTGAGTTTAAATATCTCAGTGGAAAGAGTCACTTGAGAACTGGGTGTCAATAAGGTAAGAAATCAAATGAACGATAATGAATTAGTACTATAAATTATTGTGGGATCTTAGGAAAATTGAATTATGCTGTAAAAAAAATTAAAATAAGTTAAGTACAATTTTTTGGACTTGCAAAGGTTGGTGTAAAAGTAGATTTTGCCACAATGTAGCCACCTCAAGCTTGATACACCTCATGCTTGTGTTGACTTGTCCTTTAACAACCAATTTCATAAACTCTAGCAATTTTCACAGCTTCAAGCACTTTAAGACCTTATTTCAACCTCCTAAATCAAATCTCAATCGCACCAAGTTAGCCCCAAGTGATTTCAAGTGGAAGGGAAAGCAAAGGAACCAAGTAGTAAAAAAGTGGGAACTAAATATTGATCTCATGGTGTGTGCGGCTTCGTAGCATGCCTAAGTGGAACTCATTATTCAATCAACCTATGATCCGTTTATTTAATCAACTTACTATCAATAAACCATGTGTTAGGTTCTCATTACTGGAGATCTTCGAACATGCTCCTAATTTGAATACTCATAAAAATAGGCTTTTTCTTTTACAATAAGTCCCGGAAGATTATCCCTATCCTCAGTAGCTTGC